GTCATTTTCAGCTTTTGAATATGAAAGAAAAGCATCATTCAGTTGGAACATCATTCCTAACAAATCATTATTTCTTGACAAATGAAAAACAAGCCCAAGTGTGAAGCTCAAGTATGGCCTTATAAGAACCCTAAGTCTCACCATTCAACTTCTTTGAGCATATCTCATGCTTGTGTCCCCTGTCCTTTGACCATGGCAATTGTCAAACACATTCTGAGTTATAATACAAGGACACCCACCCCAAACTGTGTTTCAGAAGCAGAAGATCAGATCTGGTCACAGCATCTGTTGTCAGAGCTTTGACTGAGGACAGATGGATTTGCAGAGCCCTCTCAGTGCTGTGCCATTGGCAAGAAATATCAGCAGAATTTCAGAGTTCATGCAGACAGCTGCTTTGGACTAGGAGAAATAGAAGAAACCATGTCCATTGGTCCCTCAGCCAGAGTACAGTCCCCATTTTTAGTTTACTAATTTGGTGCCTGATAGCACATCTTCAAAAATATCTGGGTCCTAGAAGGTTTTAAAATGTTATATCAAGACCAGCTATGGACCATGATTTAATTTTGCCTTCTCCCATCAACTCCAGATTTTGGGGCTTTTTTTGGCTATTATTATGAGAAAACACTAAGACGTGTGTTTATACATGTTCCACCAGTTGTGTTTCATAACATCTGTTTGGCACTCAGCAAGGAAAATGTTCTGTGAACTTGACCAGCAGTGTGTGCTGGGCAGATGAGACAGTGCACAACACAATGTTAAAAAGCTGCTTCATGCCCTACTCAGAAACAACTGAGAGTCGTTTCTTTGAACTTGTTTCATGAGTTTCTCAGTTGAACAGTGAATCTGATGACAAGCTTCTGAATTGCTGTGAAGGGTCTCACAGACCTTTGGCAGAAGCATGCAGTGTTATTCTGAAGTGCTATGGGAGTGTTCATTTAGCTTCCCTCTCTTTTCTTTCTGACTGCTGTCATCTCCCTCTCCCTCTCTACTAACTTCTCCACATTACCATTGAGTCTCTTAAGGCTCCTCCGCTAAGATATATTCAAAAAGCAAATATATGCAAATATTGAAAATAAATTATATGGGGACTTGAGCTGCTCTGAAGTGTGTCTTGTTACATAGACGGATGCCTACTGACTCCTTTTGTTCTGGAGAGAAAAATTATAAATAGCGCTACGGCACCAGTGTTCAAGTTCACTTGAGTCTGTGTGGTCTAATTCAGTTCTCTTTGATGTTTGCTGCACTCATTTGTGAAACTGTTCCCCTAAACCAATGCATCTCAAGGTCAGCTGTCTTGCACTGTAGCCTTTAGAAGGAAATGCAGTTGATAGTCCATGTAGCAGGGTTCTGTGGTGTGACCCAGCCCTTTATCTCCATTTTTTGAATCCTGGGGGTAATTCACACAAATTATGTGGACTGAGAAATGCTCTAGTGTTTAATGCAAACATTATTATTGAATGCTCAGCTGAAAACATGTGTTTTACTCACTAATGCATATAAAATGCATATCAACTTGTGAAGCACCTGCCAGGGCCTTACAGACATGTAATTTAGTTACAAACATGGTAGCATTTGTAAACCTGATGTGGCAATGTATAGTTTGTACCTGAGAGGAGTCATGAAACCAGGGAGAGACACTTTTTGCTCTGATTAGTGAGGGCCTGCTCATGAGGGTTTAGATCTCTAAGGAGTCCAAGCCCAAGGGCAAGACTGGTTTGGGAAGAGCCATCCACAGTAACCTGCACAGTGCCCTGTAAGCACTTAATGGCACTGAACTCATAGCAAAGAAAACTTGGCTAGGGGAGCAGTGAGAAGCTTAGGAATTGCCAAGTGTTCAGACAGAATTACTGCTGCTCTTTGGGGTGATACAAGTTCTCTAAGACCAAGCTAGGGTGCTTGTGGTGCCTGAGCAGGTATATCACAAAAGGTCCTAAAGAGAGACTTGCAAAGCAGCTGTGAGAAAACGTGTGTTATACGGATCTTAGACCTAGGCACTGAGTAATTTGGTGCCAAACATATGCCAAGGGGCGTTTGTAGAGATCTGTGTAGGGGCTATCAGGGTGCTTTTAGTGGAATTGTCTGTTAAACCCAGATATGCACATAGCTTTTAAGTCTGGGGAATGACTGGTAGGAGAGAAAAAGTACTGTGAGACCTTTAACAAGTGGTAGTCTTTTCAGTCTGTATGATCTATTTGCAAAAAAATAGGGCTCATGAAATTGCTTTTCAAATCCACTTAAGGATAGTATCTGGTGTTTGGTGTTTGACAGTTGGACACGAGACTTAAAGCACTTAGTGGCATTGCCCAGAGAGGATAAAGCAGGTAATTCTATGTTAAAAACATGGGAAAAAAGTCTTGTGAAAAGGGAGGTAAGTAGTTTGGCCTGTGTGGGGAGTGCAGGAATTGCTGACAGAAAAAGGTATTTTCATAATTTTTTTTTAGTTAGTATAGATTTGATATGGAACGGTTTATTTTTTGAGTGGGTTGCATCACCCCTCCCATCCCCATGTTTTTCTAATGTACTTCATTCTAATCCTATAAATCTTGGTCGGGGTAGGAAATGTATTGAAAAAAAGGCATAAAATCTTCAGGGTTACTGTTGTTTTTATTCTAGCCTGAAAATCGCCGTGTTGTTTATTTTCCATGGTGAAGAATTGCTATGGTAGAGATTAATAGAAAACAGAGATACTCATTTAGCACTGAGAAAAATGTTTTGTGCTAATTTACAGTGATCCATGGCACTCTATTAACAATTGACTTCAGAAATAGTTATCATGATTCTATTTTTTGCCAACAAGAAGATCAAGTCACAGCAGTCACCTTATTAGTATGTACAGCCTGCTCATTTAAGAAGTAAATGGGAACTGTGGGTATGCCTTGCCTTCAGATATCAAGCAGACAAAAGAAACGAGTCTTTTAAAATATCAGAGTCAGTGGTAGAGCTCAGAGTTTCTTTCTCCAGCTGCTGAATATACTTATTCCCTGCTAGTAAGTACATTTTTTTGAAATGCCTACACTTTTCACTTCTTATGCAACTACAGTGCTAACAAGATAAATGGCTCCTCTTTAACCTTTATTTTCCTCTTTGCTGTTGAACTGTTCCTCTGACAATGCCACAGCCAAAAGAAGCAGCTGTCACATTTCAAGAGGAAAAAGAGCTTTAACGTTAACTTTCTGAGCTTTGAGGACAAGGAGTGTCTCCTGAATGGCCTTACTGTTTCAGATGTTATTTACAAGGGCTTCATGAATGTGGCTCTCCTAAAGGTGAATTTTTTTTTCAAGAGCCATGAGCCTGCAAGTTACATTCAGTGAACATGGGAATTATAAACCTCTTTAATCAATTCAATTCTTCCTCCAGCTGGAAGACAGAAGTCATCTGCCTTCAAAAAAGCATACAATGCTGAAAAGCCAAAGAAGGTCTTAGTAAGCTGGCTACAGACATTCCTGCAAATTCTCCCAGCATAGATTGATGGGATGCCAGGGAACTAGGGTTGTCCTGGAGCTCCTCTAGAGATGACCAGTTTTCTTGTGTGGCATTGTGATGTGTTTTTCAGGACTGAGTTCAGGCTTCGGGCTCTAAGATCATAGATTCACCTAGACACATCACTGCTCCCTTCTGCTTGTACTTTGTTGTACTGAAAATCACAAATTCTCACAGGGCTGAGGAGCCGTGAGGCCGGCCCAGTGAGGCCACAGTTCTTCCTGAAGGCCTACATGAGTTAGTGCAACACAGATACAAGCAACAGCAGAGAGCTCAGGGCAACCTATGCCTGTTCCTCAAGAAAGACATGCCTGAAATAACATTAGCTGGCTTTCTAATGTTAACCAAATGTGTTTCTCCTAAGATGTCTGTTGAAGATGGCCCTGGAGGTCAAACTATAAGGTTGTATTTGATGAGTTATAGAAACAAAAAAACAAACAAACCAACCAACCCCAACTCCCAACCCCAAACTGTTAAATACCTTAAAAAAGGGAAAAAAAGAGGGGAAGGGAATTGGGTTGCCCAGAACTGCATGTTTCCACTGCATCTATTCTGAGTTCACCTCCTGGTTTGCATCTCTGCTATTGGTTATCTCTGAGAAACCTGCATAGGATCACATCAGTTTCAATATGTCTTGTGTGGCAGGTCGAGTCAAGAGAACAAATAAGTACTTTTAAACCTCATGACTCTTGGAAAATGTAATTGTTGCCTGGACAATGTCACCATGACAGAGAGCAGCCACAGCTCCAGACAGACCTTCTGGCATTTGGACTGCTGGTTGTTTGGAGAGGGGAAATAGTCATAAACAGTCTGTGCAGACTTGGGGCTGCTCAGTGACATGTGTTTGCTTTTGAGAGTATGGAGTCGAGCTTTCATTTCTTGGCAAAGAAAAATGTCTGAACTCTAATGGGACCACTTAGTGACACTGTCTCTGCATCTGTGATGGATCTGCTTCCTTTAGGGTGCAAATCAAGACACAGTTTATTTTATTGTGGTAGCAATCCCTAACCAGGTAAAGTAATAGGAGCTTTTCTTTGTCCTGTGAGGAATGTTAATTATTTTCAGTATGTTAAAAATGTGCAGAATTCATGCCAAGTCTTGGCATGATGAGGAAGGAAACAAAGTACTTGTAAAAAAATTTTACAAAGCAAGTGCAAAACTATGAGACTGGAAAAGATTAGTACATTTATTTGTTATATAAGCTTACTGTACAGGTAAACTAGAAAAATTAATTGTGAGAAGATGAGCTGTGAAACAAAACTGTTGGGTTCTAAGAGTAAGGATATAGATTCTACCAAGTAAAATCCTTATGCATGTGTTTGACTTTAACCGTGCTCTTAGGCAAAATGTTTAAATGTGGGTTTCAGTCAGCATGCTGGTGTCATAAATTAGTATTCCGATAAGCATTAGCAGGTCTTAAGAAACACAGGAATGTTCCAGCTGTAAAAACCAGGTCAAATTCTAACAAACCATTTGCATAGCTCATACACATAAGGAAAACCTGCCTTTGTTCATTGTAGGGAAGGCCAACTCACTTTGGGAGGAATGTACTCCTGAAATTGAGGAGCCAAGAGAAACCACGCATAAGGATCAGCTGCTGCTTTTATATTTGCCAGAGAGCCCTCTGTGGAGAAAACTGGAAGAGGAAGGAATCAAATACCCAAGGTGAGAGCTAATTTGAAAAAAAAAGAAGTTTTTTACACCTCAGTATTGTCAGTTTTCTTAAAAATGCCTTTCTGCCCATATTTAAGGATTCATACTTAAGGATTCATTGCACATTAAAATTTAAGGCTGCTGAGAAATTCTACAGCTCTGATTGTCTTTGAATATGGATTTTCCAGTGTCATACGTGATCCACAAGGCTCTACCATCTTTGCATATTTTCTTGATACTACTTTTCCACATAGTTGTATACCGATTGCATGCAAATAAGCTGCTTCAACCAAGAAAGAGGAGTCAGTAGCATGTTAATAAACATTCCTCCACAGTTAGTTTATTGACAGCTAGTTTCTGGAACAGAAAAAATGCCATTGTAGGTTGGGGCAGAAACTACAATAAATAATGATACTATATACTCACACATTTTTGTTGTGTCTTATATGCATATACATTTTGAGGTCTTACCCATGGCCCAGAACCGTTTTGCAGATTGTTTGGAAAACATATTCTCTGTGTCAAATGCATCTTAAACAGAAGTGTAGAGTGTGAACAATATCTTGTGACAATAACTTGGAAATGCCAACAGAAGTGAGTGAGATCTCCTGGGCTCAGGGAAAGGGAATTTTAGTTGCTGTACACTGAAGTTTAACAATTCAGCCAAGTCACATCTGTAGTAGTATAAATGGGCCTAAAGGATGGGGTTTCACACTACCCCATTGCAGTTCACGTTGCTCATATATAAGCATAACAAGTAGTACTCACCCAGAGTATTAGTGCACTGTCTTGGCACGGTGAAGGAAATAAAACAGGAAAGAAACAATTCCCAGAAAACAATAAAAAAGAGACAACTGTTTTGGAGGGTAGAGTTTATCTGCATGATGTGAATCCTCCAAGTAAAAAAATCCTCCTGTGTGGGACCCCAGGATAACTCTGGTGGAAAGGGACCTCAACAAGTCTCTGCTACAATCCTCTGCTCAAAGCAAGCTCAACCACAAGGTCAGACCAGGCTTCTCAGGCCTTTATTCAGTTCAGTCTTAAAAAATTCCAAGGAGCCTCAGCGAGCAACCTGCTCTACTATCTCACTGTCTTCATAGAGGAAAAGATTTCCTTTATATCCCAGTGAACAGCTGTCCTGTCCTCAAGAGTGTCAGCTGCTCTCTCCAGTTTGGAATCTTATGCAAACTTGGTGAGCATGTGCTCTGTTTCCTCGTCAAGGTCATTGACAGAGATGTTAAGCAGGACAGGTCCCAGGGCAGACCATTAGTTACAGTTCTCTGCTCCTAATGGGCACCCAGGCAGGGTATCCCCCTTTAACCACTACCCTCCCAGCCTGTTAAACCCATCTAGTTGTATGTCCATCCAGATTGTAACATCCTAATTTGGATAAATGCATGTGAAAAGAGCTTATATTCACCTTGCTAACTCTAAAGACAGAATGAAAGCGTGAAAGAAATTGTAAGAAATATATTGTAAGGAGACACTTCAAGAGAGTAAGGTCAAACAAGACTCTCAAGTAGGAGAAACTGTATGAGAGACTCTCCAGGCCAAGGGTGGATATAGGAGTGTCAAGATAGACCAGTAGTGAAGTGGGCTCCTGGTGAGTGACTGAGTCTGGTACTACATGGTACAAGATGGTTTTCTAATGAACCCATAAGCACAAACTATGCACCAGAAGCTTTTCACAAGCCAGGTGACAGGTCTTTCCAGAAGTTCTACAGTTCTTCTGTTCCAGAAGAATTGTGAGCAGGATTTCTACCCTGCTTAGAGGGAGAAACACTCCACCTGCCTTTGAAATGTTGCCTTTTCTGCATGGAACTGCAGCTGAATTGCATAAGGCGTTCTTTTCCAAGCATAAAAATGGAGTGTTGTCACTGTTGGAAACAAAAGGACAGTATAGGAATTCATGTGCAGCTGGGATGGAAACTAAAGACTTCAGTAACCCCAAACATTTACATTAGGATTTGCCTTACACTGAATGTCAATTTGCAAGGCAGAGGCAAAGCTGTTCCCTGTTGTCAAGACAACGTCTAAGGGAAGCAGAACTGCCAACAAAAGAAGTCAGAGAAGATTTCTCTTGTCTCTCTGAAAATACATGCAATATTAGAGGAATAAGATAAATTGGAAGAACTGCTTAAAAGTCAGAGTGAGTTTCCCTCAGAGGGAAGAACCTGGGCAGGTATGTAAATAAGCCCCCCAGTAGAGAACATTCGTAGGCAGTGTCGGCTGGAAAGAAGACAGAAGAATGTTCAAAAGAATGTTCAAAGACTTTGTTACAGAGTTTCTATAATTTGAAGTCTTTAAAATAATAATAATAATAAAAACATTTCTTTTCTTTCTGGCTGCAAGTAGACCAAAGGATGAAAAACAAGGCACTGCTGTTGTGTTTGGCCGGTAGCCAGCCAGCCAAGTAAGACCAAGGGGCATCTAAACAGTCTGTATGGATCTCAATGGGAATTTACTTCAAAGTTGAGGTCTGGAAACCAAGATTCAAGCACAGATTTCCCCCCCCTTTTTTTTTTGTTTTCTTTTCCCCTTAAATGCAGGCAGATTATTCTTTGTATCATTAAGAATAGCTGAATTTAACCTGACTGTAACCCTGGAGCATGAAATTATGAGTTCTGTTAGACAGAACGGACAGGAGCAGTATGAGCTTTCTCTACAGTCTGCTACTGTCTTCAGTCTTAATTTAGAGAAACCACACCTGCAGATAGACCAAAGATTAGGATTTGTAGCTCATTTTTTCCACAGCCTCTGTGAAGTTGCCAGCATCAGTTGTCATATTGTGTTGAGGTGAGACCACTTTTTTTTTTAAGGTTTATGATCAGTAGTTTGACTTTGGTCTTCAAACAGCCTTGAGAGAGGAAGCAAGTTGTATGCACTACAAATATTTTTTCTGGGGTAACAGGTCTAAGTTCACTCCTGTAAGTCATTGTGGCACAAATGTATAGTGCAGAGATGCTCTTACTACTGTAAATGTGCTGGATTTATAATGGGAAAATGCCATTTGACTTTGGAGACTTCTGTCATGGTTTCCAGTATAACCAGGTACTGTGTTGTGCTGTTCATTGTAACTGTGCCCTCCTTCTATTCCCTTAGCCATAGATCCTTACAATCCTGTAGCAGACTGGAAAACCATGCTTAGCCCCATAAAACACCATTTACTTTTCTCAGACAAGGTTTTTGACAGGCCAAGAAGCCAGAGACATTTCTAGGGATTGTTGGGGGAAAGAGGTTCACAGGTTTGGTTTCTGCTTGAACTCACCAGCATGAATATGGGCATCTCCGGCTATAGCGGCAGCAGTAAAATTGCCATTCCCGGTCCAGCACAGATGGAAAATACTGGCTCTGGAAACCAGCCACCAGCCCATTGTTTGAGCAGGTTTGATACCTAATAACAAGGGGAAAGAAGAGAGCGCATAGGGAAAACATATTAGATTCCTTGAAAGTTTCAAGCATTTCTGAAAACAGCATTAAAAAATTTGATATAGTGTGGAAGTTAAGGGTTTGGCTTTGTGCTGAGAAGCACTATTTGCACTTGCTGTGTCTTGAGTAACCATTTTGTTTAAGAAAGCAACAGTAGTTAACTAACATCTAAACATTTATGTTGCACTTAAAACTATTTAAACTGGTTTAAAGTATTTAATCATTCTAGTATGCTAACCAGGCAAGAAGATTTTTCTAGTGTTAATATTCTCAACTGTTTACAAATCATGAGACTGACTTCAAAATAGTCTATTAATATTTTTGTCTTTGACTGTTGGTATTTGAGGAATTGGGCTTTACTTAAACAATCACTTCAACTGCTTATCTATTAAAAAAAAAGGACTCTTAGAAACTATTTCATAAGAGAAGTTCATTTATTTTTTATTTGTTTGTTTCACAACTACCTGTCTCCAGGAGAAGGGACTCTTAAATAAAAATGTTTAGGCTTGTGATGAAATCGTGATTTGATAGCAATCACATAAGGAAAACTGAAACTCAGATTTTACAAAATTCTAAGACTCACATAAATTTTATGACTGGATTCATGCTTTCTATGTACTCGGGAATTCTGTCATACATGTGAATGACTGCCTTCAAGTAGAATAGACATAGATCTCAAAGCTTCTGTCTGCAGACCCTTCAAGCACCTGCACACTGTTACCCAAAGTAGTTCAAGTGATAATCCGTTTGAATAGTTTGCTTCTTGGACATTAAAGACAAGGAGAACATGAAAATAGACAGGTCATTAATTTAACTATTGAATGCTCATTCTCTCGAGCACCTTCCTAGCCTCATTGTTTCCCTATTGGGAAAATTAGAGGAATTTAGTGCCTTCCATTTCCTTTCCTTTCTTTTCCCTTCATCAAGGAAAGACCTGCACCTGCAGCAAACCTTCTGTGCAATACCATAAAATAGATTACAATTATATATCCAAAAGACACTTTCAGAGATAACTGTAGGATTAACAAATACCAAAAGTTTCCCCTAGTTTCATTCAATGACCTCGTAGTTTATTCTAAAGACCTGAAGTTCCCAGAAGAGGAAACACATCATCTAGGAGGGTTTGGTGTTTGGAAAGTCATTCTCTTGTGCATACAGGTGTCAGTGCCCACAAAGAAACATGAGGCTCAAGTGTTTGTATGCAAAAGCTGAAAATCTGATCAATTTTGACCAGAGCAGGGATGAATTCCTCTGCCTAACTTTTGGCCTCCACCTTTGAACCCAGGGATCTCTTCCCTATATTCCTTCCACTGTGTTCTGTTGTTCAGACAAGAGTATTTACATTTGTTTGTATCCCTGCATCTCCCACGTGTCTAGGACCACATGTACTTGGTGTGCTTTGTGAGACTTTTTCAAGGACCTTGAGAGTTAAGTAGTGATGGGGACTCTGAGTTGCTATGGTATCATACCAAGTAAGGCAGTTTGGCTCTCACTCAGAGAATTTCAGCAGGCCTTTGATAGGAATTTGCTCTGATTTTTGGCACATAGGCCATAGGAACATATGGCTAAGACTCTGTGTAAACATATTGGATAGTTGCAGATGATTGGTGTTATCCTGGTGGAAGAATGGTTGATACGCAGAAATACAGGAATCGGTTGTACCTGTTGCAAGATGAGCATTAAACTGTGTAAAATAGAACCAAAATTGCGCCTCCCCATCCCTTCCCAGTTGCATGCATTTGCATGGCTCAAGTCCTTGTGCCCCTGGGAGATTTTCTAGCTCTTTCGCGTAGGTGCAATAAGGAGAGCATTTTGTTTCTCCATATCCTTTGCATTTCCTCTCAGAAGCTCAGCACTGCCCTGCAGTTTGCTCATTCCCACCAATCAGCACCTGATATTCCTGCTCATACTTGTCTTTATGGAATGTTCTTCCTTCTTTTCCTACCTACTCACATTCAGCCTGGGAAGTTCTGCCCTCTTTCCCACTGTCTTTGCCCTACAATAGTTTTTATTTTCTTGACACCTCTACTAATACAGTCCAATTTTGATGGAAAGATTAATTTTGAGAGAGATGTCACTGATGGACCCTTCTCTCTACAGGGAATTGAAACACAAAGCTAGCTAGAATAACACTCGTACATAGGTATTTGGGCATCAGACTTTAGGAAGGTTTGGTTATTTTTGATCCTGATTCTGTATTGTCAAGAAAAGTTTTATTTAAAAAATATAATTGGAGTTGCTTTAAAAATTAGTTTCTTAGATGGAAGATATAGCTGGACATAAGTAGTGTCTTAGAATTATATATAAAATAAAATATAATTATATTTTATTTTGAAATAATTAATCATAAAATTTGAAATACATATTTAAGTTCATGTCCACTTCTCTCTGCTTCTGTCTCACCCACAAAGATGTGCAATCTGTTATTCAAGCCCAATATTGGGTTCAGAAAGATAATAGTGATGTTGAAGTACTTTTTTTCATCTTTAAGGTAACATAACAATTTTTTCTTTGATCTTTTTAATTTTCAAGTAAAATCCAAATATTTCTTCAAAAATGAAGAGATAGTCTCAGAAACTGAAGTGCTTATTTGTGAGCTCATATAAAATATTTTCTTCTCTTCCTTTTACCAGTTGGCCTCTTTGCTACAAGCATTAAGTAATTCTTCAGGGGAAACAAACAACCCCTCCCCACACACCTTTTTAGTCAGATGCTCTGTGCACCAATCTGAAAACAACACTTAATATGTGAGAATTTTTTCCTTCTCTGTTGAATTCACTACTCTTGTCACAGCAAATCCTGCAAGCGAGTAGGGTGAATAAAAACTAGTGATTCGGGAACTTTGATTTATGGCCAAGTCAAAAAAAGCCTTTCTCACTAGACCCATTCTGTAGCACTTTTGTTATAAAGGATAGTTCAGTATTCAGAGTTAATATCACTGGGTTCTCCTCACTCATGAAATCTCTGATATTGCTAAGAAGAGAGGAAGAAACCTCTTAGAAGGTGAATGCAGAAGAACATGAGAAACCAGCTGGGACTCTGTGGGACTAAACTTGGTTGTTTTCTTTTTCTAGTTGGCTCAAGTTGCAATGCACTAAGAGTTGCCTTTTGGATCTGGTACTGGGAGAAGAGGAGGTGAGCTGGTGAGGGAGTGGGAAAATTTGTGGTGGCGAGGGTCAGGTGCTCTTGAACGGGAAGTTGCCCTTCCCTTGTCTGCAGCTGTTGGAAATGACTGCAATGTTTCATAGAAAGTAAGTAAACTATATAGCCTTATTCTGTATAGTAAAGGGATAATGGTATCTGAGACTTTCCTGGCCTGCTGCAGTTGCTGTGTAAAGCCTCTCCTCTGCCAAATCTTCTTCTGAACCGGTTAATGAGTGTTTTACAGCTGAGTTCTGTCACAGCAAGCAACCAAAGCGTGCATCCATGTTACCGATTTAATTCAGGTCAGGACTGCTGTCGTTGTTCACCGGTGTTTATCTGTGAGATCAAATTAGAGCTGGTTTGAAATAAACCTGCTCAAAATGCATATGTGGATTTTGGGTCCGTGCATGACCTGTTTCACTCTACAGATGCACTTAGATTGTGCCACATTATTTGCAAACATTGATACAGCCTTAGCCACCAAGTTTGTACCCAACTGACTGAACAGTTGCCTGCCAGACTGAAGACAACTATCGCTTGCAATAGTATAATTGTTTTGAGCAATGGCACCAGTTATGGTGACACTTCAGAATTATGTGCCTACATCTTATTATTGCTCTCTGCTAGACAAAGCCCAGAGTGCTGTGCCTGCCAATGCTGATGCTGTGTGGTAAACCTCTCTCTAAGGCCCCCTATCCCTTGAAACATAAGCAGCAATTTATCGTGAGGATGACAACCCAAAGAGGAAGTCTGTTCACTATAAACCTGCTCAGACAAGCCCAAGTCAAAGTGCAGTAAGTGGTGCTGCTAGAGCCTATACTGAATTCCTGCTGCACTGCTCATGATAGTGCTTGGAATAGAGCTCCCTGAAGCTCTCTGAGCCTGACACACAGCTCAGTAGGCACTGGGTCATGCTGCATTGAGGGCAATTTGTTCCTTACAATAACGCACCCTGAGAGCGTCATTCCACGCCCCTGTGGAGGGGAGGCCCTATACTTCTCTCTGAGTTATTTTTATGAAGTATAATTTGGTTAATTGCATGATGGGAGACTTATATAAGAGGCTGAGAGAAGTCTTAGGACACCTGAAACTCTGGCACTCAGACGGAGGGAATGATTTTTATGAATTTTGCATGTTTGATTAGGCCATGTCAGTCTCCACTAGCCACTTCTATAAGGAGTCTTCACTATCTGTTGTGGGATGGTGAGACATGTCTTGACTTCCACATTCCAAAGACAACCTCTTCAGCAATCTTTTTCTTTCGTTTAGGGGTCAGTCATGATTTATTTTCTTCTCCCTGACTTAAGGGAAGGCAAGACCCTGTTCACCCTGACGATTTCTTTTTGACTGTAACTGATGAGACGCCCTTATCTACAGAAACACTCCTCTTCTCCTCAGATGCTCCCACTGGACTCAGTCCATTGCAGCTGTGCTAAAAGCTTGTAGCACTAGTCCTTTAACATAAACCTAGGGCTCTGAAGAAAATTAACTTGTTTGTGTAGATAGCACAAATGGGAGCATTTTGAAAGGGCAGCTGGATTAGTGGGTTTGGGTAATACAGCCTCAGATTTGAAACTTGGGATTGGTCAGATTGAGAACAGAAGCAGTTCCTCGCAGATATAGCGAGTTGTGCTGCCAGTGCCTGAACAGGAGGCTCCTACAGACACTTCCTTTGTTCATTAGTCTGTATTTGCACCTAGTTTGTGGGCAAAGGGGAGTGAGAATGGGAGTGGAGACAGAGAATCTAGATATCTGTTTTTTCCAAGTCTCATCTAAACACTTTCTCAGAAGTCTAAACAAGGAAAAGATGCAATAAACATGGGTTAAACAGCACTTGACTGGAAAAGTTTCTGCTCCGTGCTTTACAGCTAACTGAAGATATGGCATGGTTTCATCTCTATTATATGGTGTAAAACAAACATTTTTTCCTGGAAGGAAGAGTTGTTTTTCTTCATTTACAAGCTTTTGTTTGTTTGTTTGTGTGATCCCTGTCATTTGGCCTGATAATTTTCAGGCAAGAAAAATAGTTTTTCCCTAAGTACCCTGTTCAGAGACTGGTCTATAGAGGCAAATCTGTAGTATTCAGCAAAGCAGTGAAGAGCAGTTTCACCTGCAATCACTCAGACCTTAGGTGGTGAAATATTTATAAAAGGTCACGCTTCCTCCAGTACAACTGGACCTAAGAACATAAACATTGTGCTCCCTGAAAGATGGATTCTTTGAGATGTTGCAGCATATAAATGTTGCTGCAGAATCAGGGCATGCATTTCCCTACTCCAGACGTGAGTACCAAATTATCCAGGAACTGGTTCTGCTCCCAGTTGTTCTCTCTCTATTGAATAGCATCTTGGTTAGCAGATAGCCTCTGAAGGACTAAGGTGTTGGGACAGATTCAACAAAGCTTTTGTACATGTACTTAACTTTAAATGTGTTCACTGATCAATGAAGGTGAGAATGTATCCCTGGTCACCTGATTCAACTGATTGCCAAAGTTTTCCCTATGAATCTTGTAACATGTTCACAAGCTCCTCATGAGCATTCAGTAAAACACAAAAACACGTAATCTCTTCAGAAGTGTATGTGCATATATGATTAACTTCAGGGATGCATTTATTGAGTGAAACACCATAGATATATTCTGAAATGCCACTAGGTAATTCTAGGTAACTGTCAGAGGAGATTGTTCTTCATGAGTCTGCTTGTGGAGAGAGATGGGGTGTCCCAGAGAGCAGTTTTTAGAGTACCTGTTTCTCTCCATTGACCTTGGAAGGAGGCAAAGGTCATAAACTAGGCATTGTGATTAGATACCTAATGCGAATCTATGTCATAGTCCTCTTTCTGTTAAATAGGTTTTTTAATATCTGAAATATTCAAATTCTTACCGTTTAATTCTCTACGTTCATATAATACCTAGTGTTAGTGAGGGAAGCAAACTTGCCAGGAAGCTCCGTCAGTGATTCCCTCTTGCCTCCCAACTCTCCTATCCCTATGCTCCCCATATCCATTTCTGCCATTTCTCCCCAAGGACTAAAGGAAAAAGAAAATAATCTTTCTTCTCTGTTTTATATTAACACTTCATTTTCTCTCTTAAGCTTTTCTTGGTTTGTTGTCTTTTCTAAAGAAACCTCTCTTGGGTTTGGCTCTGTTGTGCAGCTGCACCATAGTCAAGAATGGCGATTTGTGAAATGCCATAAACAGAATTTGTCAAAGGTAATTTTTTTGATGTTTCTGCCAGACTAGAGTTTCTGAGATATGGCTGAGAAACTGGAGGGAATTCAGAGAAGATCTGTAGACATGATCAGTACTTGCTTAGGAGTGTTGGAATATAAAATTTCCAGAGGAGAACTAGAAGAATGGAGATGTGTTCAGCCTGAAAGCAAAAGCCTGGGAGAAGGTGTGTGGGTGAGGGAAAGGCATACCTGCTACCTATTATAAAGTTAAAGAGACTTTACAAAAGGATGCAGTGAGCTTTTTCACATTACTCAGTGAAGGTAAAGCAAGGAATAAAAAGCCTTGATTACAGCAGAGCAGCAGCTTTTGGTACCATCTCCCATGGCATACTCCTGGAAAAGCTGGACAGGTGCACTCTTGGCTGGGTTAAGAACTGGCTGGATGGCCAGTGGTGGTGAGTGGTGCTCCATCCAGTCACTAGTGGTGTCCTTCATGGATCGGTGTTGGGCCCAGTCCTGTTTAATATCTGTATTGATGATCTGGATGAGGGGATTGAGTTTACATTAGCAAATTTGCAGATGACACCAAGTTAGGTCAGAGTGTTGATCTGCTGGAGGGGAGGAAGGCTCTGCAGAGGAATCTGGACAGGCTGGACTGATGGGCCAAGACCAAGTCCATGAGTGGACCAAGGCCAAGTGCCAGGTCCTACATTTTGACCACAACAACCCCATGCAGTGCTACAGGCTGGGGACAGAGTAGCTGGAAAGCAACTCAGTGGAAAAGGATCCGGGAGTCCTAGTTGCCAGCAGCTGGATGTGAGCCAGCTGTGTGCCCAGGTGGCCAAGGCGGCCAATGGCATCTGGGTTTGTATCAGAAATAGTGTGGCCAGCAGGACCAGGGAAGTGATTCTTTCCCTGTACTTTGCACTGGTGAGACCACACCTCAATTCAGGAAAGAGACTGAGGTGCTGGAGTGTGTCCAAAGAAGAGCAACAAAGCTGGTGATGGGACTGGAGCATAAGTCCTATGAGAAGTGGCTGAGGGAGCTGGGCTTGTTTAGCCTGGAGAAAAGGAGGCTTGGGGAGCCCTTATCACTGTTATAGCTGAAAGGAGGTTGTAGCCCAGTGGGGGTCAGTCTCTTCTCCCAGGCAACCATTGACAGGACAAGAGGACACAGTTTTAAGTTGCACCAGGGGAGGTTTAGGCTGGACATTAGGAAGAAACTCTTCACAGAAAGGGTGGTCAGACATTGGAATGGACTGCCCAGGGAAATGGTGGAGTCATTGTCCCTGGAGGTGTTTAAGAAAAGACTGGACATGGCACTTAGTGCCACGGTCTAGTTGACATGGTGATGTTTGGTCATCGGTTGGACTCAATGATCGTGGAGGTTTTTTCCAACCTAATTGATTCTATGATTCACTGAAATTTTAGCAAAAACTTGTCATATTTGTAGTTATTGGTGGTACAAGCCATTGAATCTCCCTGGATGTGATATGCAAGGTGAAACAAAATACTGTGTGAAGAAAGAATATTACAGTCCATCCTACAAGGATGGGAAATGAACTATCAAGTTCAGCAGAGTGCTGTGTCAGCTGACATGAGAGTGATATATTGCTCACCAACAGATTGGTTTGTTGGGAGTTCAACAGGGAAGAGAGCTGGCCAAAAAGGAACTAATGGTACAGATGGTGACTCACATTTGTGGTCCTACTTGATTACTGAGTGAATGAATCTCTTTAGAATTGGAGATGGCTCCAAATAGCATTGAGCTGGGCATGACGGAGAGAGAGAAGAGAAACAGCTATGAGAAGTAAGAATGCCAAGAGAATAAGCAGGATTTTCAAAGGTCCCACAGG